GAGAAGAAGGTTCCTTTCCGTTAGACGGCACGGGATAAAGAAACGACTTTTTCTGATGGACAGGAACTTACATAGAAGTGTTAGCAATCATTTAAAAGCTCAAATCTCTGGCTAGCGCTGTACGCGATCTGTTTTCAAAAAGACTCTTTTATGACGCCGTAAAATTCAAAATAAAACTATAATTCACAACCGCCGCCCGCCTTCTCTTTTATCAGACGTATGATTTGCAGGAAGAGCAAAGAGCATATCAACGAGTAGACGAAATCCCGTGATATTTGAATCATACGCTTGATCTCGAGCTCCTTTCAGAGCAGGGAAAAAATTCTGATCGAATGACAAAAAACCCACTTTACATGTGACGCGAAAACGTATCTCGATCGATCGATGGCGGGCCTCTGCATCGAATCTACGACAATCACACATCCCGACCATAGATTACTCGGGAGACGAGCGCGCCAAAGATGTGAAACTTGATCTTCTTTTCTCGCTTAGATCGCACTGCGACGGCCTTTCCAGAAAATAAGCACAGCATTGGAATCGTGGAAAGTTGAGCTATCGAATGATTACCAATGGACTTAAGAAAGAGGTCTGTGCTGCGAGAAATATGCGCGCGTGGAACACAGATGTTTTCCTTTCACTAAATCGAGGCTTTTTTTAAAAACGGCCACGTATCGCGCTAGCCAGAGATTCAAGCTTAGCTTTCGAATGGTCACTAAAACTCTTATGAAAAGTTCATGTTGAGCAATTTGGGTCGAATATTCTTCTGTCGTCGTCTATCAGAAAAGAGCCGCAAAAAACTTGCCTCATTTCTCAGATGGTCTTCGATGACTTGTTTGACTCCGCTGTAAAGTTTTTCGCCGTATTTATGTAGTACCTATAATAGAGAAAAGATTTAGTGGTCTGCTGGTCTGATTTTTACTCCAGAAAGTACTCTTTCCACACGTATTTGAAGAGGATTTTTGCTCCTAACGCTTTTTAGCAGCGTTATGATTTATAAATATACGTCTAGGAGTGCTGAGCATTATGCAAAACATTCGACTCGAAGCTGGAGTTGAACTCACGTCTCACCCATTCCGGATATGAGTGGTACAACCACTACACCATTGAGGCAGTCCCTCTGTTACTACTCTTCTCTTCAACAAACCCCACTGGATCTGTCAGCTACCAACCTTTAGCGAGGTTTAGTCTGACAAGATATCTCGACAATACCGTCAAAGGTCGGCTGCTGACTGCTCCGATAGTTTATATCGAAGAAAGAGTGATAGCACAGCGTGCCCAGTATGGGTATAACCCTCCGAGGGTTAACGCTGATAGGCAGGCGGCGTCGCGCCGTCGCTTTTCCATGAGGTGCGTCTGCTTTCTCACGAGAGGCAACGCCACCATTATTCGTGCATGTATATCTGGCTGTCTGCGCCTGCCTTCCCACGAGACGCGACGTCACCGCTACAGTAGATGATTAGATTGACGTCACGCGGCACAGTACGGAAGGTGACATTTGGTTGGTCCTTAATGCCTAAGAGAGGACGTATTCCTGGTGAGGTACACGATTGTTTGAAGAACTTTCTCGCTGGACAAAACTTTTCTCATGAGCATTTAGTAATCACTCAAGAGCTTAGATCTCTGCGATTCAAACATTATGTTTCATTCTTGAAAAAAGCGTTTCCCCTACGCTGTAGCAGCGGAAGTAAAATTATGATTCGCGCTCAGTCTGATTTAATTGCTCTACCAAGCTTGTACAAGGCTCTTCGCCAAACTCTTACTAGTCTTTCGATAGCGCAAATCTCGAGAATTTCGATGCTATGAACGATTTTGTGGAGAGTTTTCATAGAACGCTGTAAGACGGAAAAGAAGATTACTTTTTGCACCCAAAGTTTTTATCATACATAAAAGTTCTATGAGCAGAGAAACGTATGACCGTGTAGAGAAAATTATGGAGTACTAGAGTGACACAAGAAATTTGACGCTTTGTTTTCCAAATGGAGAAAAAACTCTAACTGAATGACGAAATCGCACAATCGCACACTTCTTGTAAGTTGCATAGCGCGGGCGATCGAGTGCTATCCCTAAAGGGTTGAAGAGATAATACGGGTTCACCTCCCTTCTCCCACTAAGAGTCGAATGTCTTGCACAGCACGCAACATTCTTAGATTATTCTATTTATATGATTAAAGGATAAATGATAAAGCTCTCGGCGTTGATCAATCCCTGAGGGATGTGCCATGCAATCGTCTTCAATTTCTAACTTCGTTTGAGGCGATTGAATGCATATCTGGCCTTTACAATGACTCGCGGTGGCCTACCGCTGAACCTAGTCAGTGCTGCTTATCCTCCCAGACAAGTCTGAGACCTGTCTGGTACCAATTTACCGACCCCGGAGGGATGGATGGCTTGGTGAGCCATGAGCGCGACATCGAACCAGTGACCTCGTGTGCGACGCAGAGAATCTCTAACCACTGCGCCAAATGCGCCCATTTCTTTCATGTTAAACTATGGAAAATAAGTGACAGTTTATACCATTCTGTACGCGCTCCTGTAGAGCTCCTCAAAACTGAGGCCCGAGCTGTTCTTCCTCTGGATATCCTCAATGGCCTTCTTAAGCATGGCCCACACCTTACTGAAGTACTTATCCTCCATTGCGGCCTGAAAAATGATGTTCATCGGGTAAATTACTTCAATGAAAAAACAGAGCATCCGAAAATCTGACCGGGAAATTGCGGATCCGCATGCGAGTTGATCCAGAGGCTTGAGATCTCACACTCGACATCGGCCCTTATCAACGAAAATCTCTTGGTGCGCTGAAAGTTATGTTAGGACAAATATGATCCCACTGTTCGATTATTTTTGCTGTATTATTAGTGGAAATAAAGGGTATAAAAATTCTTTCCTTATTGTATGAAAGTGTATCAAAAACGCTACTTATTTTAATATTTTTTATCATAAACGAAAGATGGATCAATTCCGTTAGACGGCGAAAAATAAATATTACACACCATTCGCTAGATCTGAGTTTTTCATGAAAGTGTTAGTAATCATTCGAAAGCTTAAACCTTTGGCTAGACCATTACTTGGCCAGTTTTCCAAAACATCCCTTTATAACGCTGTCAAATTCGAAATAAAACTATATTTCACACCCGCCACGCGCCTTCATTTTTATCATCCGTACAATTCGCTGGAAGCACAAAAAGCATATGAACGTGTAGAGAAAATCTCGTAGTATCTGAACTGCTTTATTTGGAGCTTCTTTCAAAACGGAGAAAAAATTCCCAACTGAACAACAAGTTGCAGCCCACATGATCGCGTCAGGCTATCGATCGATCGCCCCCCTCCCGCGGTCCGCAGATTAGCCGGTAAGCAAGCCCGCCGGATATGTGAAACTCGATCATCTTTTCCCTCCTACATCGCAGTGAAAAACAGTCTTTCCAGAAAATAAGCACAGCGTTGGAATGACTGAAATTTACGCTATCACAGAGCGCTAGTAGTCTAAACATAGGGTCTCTCCGGCGTGGTGTAGAACACAAATGCTTTCTTCCTCCTACAGCACTGTCAAAAGAGTTTCCACGAAGCAAACACATTTTTGAGTTCTTCCGGACTTGTGCTATCAAAATAGTACCAATGCTCTAAGAAAGGAGTTATGTCCAGCAAAATATTAGCGCGATAAGAAAAAAAAAACGCGTGGACCGGGTGAAAGCTAATTTTATTTCGGATTTTACAGCGCTACAAAAGGGTATTTTGTAAAACGGACCATGTACGGCACTAACCAGAGATTTAAGCTTCCGAATGATTACAAGTACTCTTATGAAAAGCTCTTCTTCAACGGAAGAAATTGATTTTCCATTCCGTGACGGCTAACGGAAAAGTACCTAGAATATTCTTTACATGATGGCTTCTAGAGGATTTTGAAAAAGACGACTCATGTGCCCGGAAAAAACGCCATTCGCAAAAGGCTCTACTTTTCATATTAACTGAGAGAAAACTGCCAACGACGAAAAGGAGGAGACTTTTTTTGCACCGCCGAGTGACCGGAGACGAAACGTGGAATTTCGTTCTCAAAATCCAAAGCGCTCATGGATCGAGGACCGGCCCAGAAACTAGTAAAATCGACCGCGAAACGGAACAGGAAGGTGGAAGTTGTCGTTGTGCATTTGGTCGGATCAGAAAGACGTCCTCCTCTCCTACAAGCTCCATCAATCTAGTGAATCCCTGCGGTTAATGCAGCAATTTATCAACAACAACTCGACCAAATTAAGCCATAAATTGCATATAAAACGACCGGAATGGACCGTAAAACACGACAGAGTGATTCATGCCGCGCACGATCGACGCTTGACCCCATGCTGCAAACCCCGATCAAAAACCTCGTAAAGGAGCTGAGATGAGGGGCTCTAGGAGGCTTTACCTTACCTACCGTACTATACCGACATTGCATCGTCACGGGACCACTTGAAATTACCAAATTCAAATTACAAACTAGCAAATTTCAAAAAAAATTTCACCGATTTTACCTACAAAGCTTTTCTTCGATGCATCCACAAATTACCCAAAAATTGGGGAAATGTCTTGGTTAATGATCGTAATTATTTTTTGATTAAACATTTGGTATAAAAATTTTATAAATATTAATGTAAATAAGTGTAAATATAAACAATAAATGATAAATAATAATTATATAAATGAGGGCGGGGGGGGGGAGGGCGCCGTGGCCGATGGTTGTGATGCTCGCCGCGGCGCGCGTGGAGCCGTGCTCCACCCCCAGCTCTCTCCGGCAGTCAACAACAACGCCTTATGGGACGCCACAGCCAGGCTATCCTCGAGATTGCAAGGTGGCCCGCTCAACCGGTATTCTACGACGTTCAAGAAGAAGACGAGAAACGAATCGAATGCTAGAAGTACTGGGATCCTTACAGTGAAAAAAATAGCACTGTGATGACGGATCAAATAAAATGAAACGAAAATGAGAAATATTATATACCTAAGAGAATTGAGTGGTGAGCAAAAAACACGGCCTCAGGCGGGAATCGAAACACGCGTTCCATCCTATCCGTGGACGCGTGCTCTAACCACTACACCACCGAGGCACATTTGCCCGACCACTTATTCTTCAACATCTCAATGTTAGCTATCAGCCACCAACCTTTGACAGGTTTAGTCGGGTATGCGATTTCGCTTGATGCATTAAAATACTACTGATTCCGAGTATTACTAATTAGAATAGCTGTCAGCTCAACTGGGTTTATGAAGCGAAATCGCATACCCGACCAAACCTGTCAAAGGTGGTGGCTGATACCTAACATAGAGATGTGAAGAATGAGTGGTCGGGCAAATGTGCTTCGGTGGTGTAGTGGTTAGAGCACGCGTCCCCGGATAGGATGAAACGCGGGTACGATCCCGCCTGAGACCGTGTTTTTGCTCACCACTCAATTCCTTAGGTATATAGCAAACATCATAACTGCGAAATGCATAAAAATACTACTGATTCCGAGTATTAGAAATATTATAAATAAAATAGAAATAATAATAACAAACATTAACTAGTACTAATAATCAATAATAACGAATAATGGTGGTAGTAATGAATAATTATATAAATACAACGTGAATATACTGACATAAAATAAATAATGTTACTTTATTTATTTTTATTTGATTTTATTTTGTATTTTATTTTACTATAACATATGAAAGTTATTACTTTATAAAAAAGGCATATGGAAAACACTGACCGAAAGCAATGCAGATCGAGAGATCAAAACATTTGAGCGAATCTAATGGCGCCTCCGCCCACGCCTCCCCACGAGGAATCCAGTCGGTAACGGCTCTCGTCCATCGGTTGTCGTTGAAGCGCATCACGTGTTCGGCCCACCTTATTTTCAATATCCTAGCGCGGTAGGACGGCGTCTTTGATCTTCGATCGATGACGTAGGTCGGAACTTCGGATCCTTTTTCTCATTTGCGAGATACGGGATACTCCTAGCATCGACCTTTCCACTGCGCGTTCGAGAACGGCAAGTGGTCTTTCATCCTGCTTACGTAGCGACCAGGTTTCTGCTGCATACGTCAGGACAGGGATAATTGTCGAGTCGAAAAGGTGGGCACGGAGTCGAATGTTCTTTGTCCTCTTCACTACATCTTCGATGCTCTTAAACGTTACCCAAGCCGCTCGCTTCCTCCCTGTTCAACTCTGGTGCTAGGTCGTTCATCATGTTGATTTAACGACATAGATAGACGTAACTGGAGCATTCGGAGATTGTCGTTCCGTTGAGCGTGAATGGGGCATTCGAAACCCATCCGTTCCTCATGAACATTGTTTTCGTTAGATTCAGTTGAAGACCAATCTTTCCACAGGCGTTGTCGAAATCGGTCTGCTTGGCTGATGCTTGATGTTATGAGGACGATATCATCAGCAAAGCGAAGATGGTTTGATTGTCGACCGTCGATTTGCACTACCATTTGGTCCCCCATTTTAATGTTCGCATGACATTTTGGAGGTGGCAGTGAATGATACTGGCGAAATTGTATCGCCTTGTCGAACCCCTCTTCTTAGGTCGATGGTGGTATTGTTGTGGAATGAAGATAATTTGGCCGTGAAATCTTTGTATAGCTCACTAAGGGTACTTTTGTAGCGAATAAGGACGCCCTGGTTGTCCAAAGTCTCCATGACCACTTCTGTTTCCACTGTATCAAAGGCTTTCTTCTGACCCATGAAAGTGAGACAGAGAGGTCTCTTGTACTCTTTTTAAAACAAGTAATTTTTGATTGTCTCTATGGTGCGAAAGCCTTTTCGGAAAACCTTGCTTGTTCGCATAGCTGTACCTCGTCCAGTGTTCTGTCAGTCCTGTTTAGGATGACTCGAGTAAAGAGTTCATAGACAACGCACAGCAAGCAGATTGGGCGATAATTGCCTATGTCGTGAAAGTCTCCTTTTTTGAACAATGACACGGTCTTGCTGATTTTCCATTAAATGGGAACCTTGCATTCTGGCAGGTAGCGAGTGAAAAGCCGAGCCAGGGTGCTGATGAGAACTGGCGATAGGTTTTCAGGTGTTCTGGTCTTATCCTGTCTGGGTAGGTGTTGTTCTATTCTTCATCGATGATATATCGCGTCGGATTTCGCGTAAGGGAGACCCGTGGTACGACAAATGCGTCCCCTTTCAATTCATATGATGGAAAGAAGACATGGTTATTGAAAGATCCGAGTAGTAACCGTGGATGACGAATACATACATATGTATGCATGCATATGCATACATATGCACAATATATATATATATATATATATATATATATATGTATACATGTACACCTCGTAAAGGCTCAAAGCATTCTCACAGACTACATTGTTTGCTTGGAGCGAGGTTTAAAACAGTGAATGAGATGGATTTCTACTTATTTACTACCACCCGTGATCCATAGACGCAAAAAATGGTGGTAACACAATACTCGTGCTATCAGTATAAAAAACGTCTCTCCACCCCTGCTATAAAGTAGGGTTCAGTCCGGGGCGTGGGCCACAGATGAAGCGGGCGGCATCGCCACAAAGTACATATGGCTCTGACGTACTGACACGGCAACCTCGGAAAGACTTTGACCATTTCAAGACCACGTGTACCACTCGTGGTACACGCTCATTTCCATGGTTTTCTCGTTGAGTACAAACCTTTCATTGGACTTTCAGCTGTCATTCAATAGCTTAAAGAATACGGTTCTAATGGTATGTTTGATTTTTAAAAACTACCTTGGAGTGAGCTGTAGCAACGAAGAGGAGATTACGTTTTTTCTTCATAATATTCAGTGTAATTTGAACTTCTGTTTGCTTGGCTTTTCACCGAACAAAATTTTTCCACTGGAGTTTTACTAGTCGTTCGATAAGCTTGAAAAAATGGCGAGTCTAAATATAAACTTCAATTGTGAAAGAGTAAAATCTGGGTTCGAGCCCCAGCTGCCGTAGACGTTTTTGCACATCACTCTACATCATTGGGTATACTGTAACATCATAACACTCAATAGGCGGTCAAATAAAATGATTTGTGTGAATGAATACTTAATAAAACTGTTTATTGCGCTGTAACAATGGCAAACAAAATTTAAGTTTCGCCTTTGCAGTCCTTTGCATGCTTCGCTATCGTTTATACTTGGCTTGACAGCAGATTCCTGATTATCACTTGATAGCTCAGAAAGCGTAAGTTTTGAGAGTAATTTGGTTTTTTAGAATGATTTTTAGTGCGCTGTAGCAAGGGAATTAAGGCTTCGCATTCTGAGTAATTAGCCCGGCGCCTGAACATCGCAGTGTATCTATCGACACTTGTACAGTGAAATTCCTCCGCTGGAGAGAATTTATGATCAGAAAGATTTATATGCTGCTGGAGACCTTCTATAAAGGTCTTTTATAGTAAAGAGAGCGCCAGCGTGTCCTAAAAATTTCCACTTTTCAATACCAAGGCCACCTCAATAAGGGAACAAAGAGTCTCCATTTTTTTTCACTCATTTTGACAATATGTAAAATTGTAAACTAAAAACTCATTATTTTTGATTTGACTATTTCAAAAAACTTATGTGGTGTGGCTTTTAGTACGCAGTCGGAATAGTCTTTAATAGAGCCCACAATCTTCAATTGCTAGAGCACTTCTTTGGAGAATATGCATATTGCTGACTTAAATCTTTCAAACCTTTCACTGGTGTTGCTATACTTTTGTTTAGAATATTTATTCAGCAATCAATAATATATACAATAAACTTCGATCATTAGCAGTTTATCTCAAATGTCAGTATCGGTCAACATTTATCCGCGCTGAATAGAATCTTGCAGTGTACAACATCTTTTTCGACAATCTACTACTTTTCTCCTTTCCGTATCCATAATCAACAAACGTATTTTTTTGCTTTTCTTAGATATTTTGAAAACTAGTCGATAGCATAAATCTTGAGAAATTGGACGATATCTTTTATTTTTTGAACGGCCTTCATATTATGTCGTAACAGTATTAAAATAAGATTGCATTCCACACTCAAGCATTTTTTGATAAGCAAAGATTTTTCTTGAAAATTCGGTAATTATTCGATAGTGAAAATTTCAATAAATTCAGTAATGTTTTTTGTTTTGCAAAAAAAAAAACGTATCTCACATAAGGCGCGCATATTTTGCTTCGATATGGTGGGTGGATTTTGCAACATTGGCACCAAGTCATCAACTTTCAATAACCAGTTGATAGATTAAATGTTGAGGATTTCAATGATGCGCCTGCTTTTTAGGAATTTTCTTAGCTGTAAGAACAAATTGTGTTGCATATTCTAATGCTTTTTGCTGGACACAACTTTCATTCGGACTTTCAATAACCATTCGATGCACAAATCTCAGCAAGTTCAATGGTGCGTTTGGTCTTTCAAAAAGAAACTTCTTTGTGAGTTATTACTATTGAAGTATTAATAGGTTTTGCACCCGGTGCGCATCGCATGCCACATGTGAATTGAGCTTTGCGATTGACCTGATGCCGAGTGCAAGACTCAATATTCTTCTAGCTTTCCGATAAATCAAGCATCTCCTCGAAGTCCTTGATACTTGTTCTATCGAATGGTTATTGGAAGTCTGAGTGAAAAGCTGTGCCTCGCAAAAAGGTAGTCGTGAGTGGAATAAAATTTCATTTTAACTCTTACAGCGTAAGATATAAACTATTCAGAAAACAAAATAAACCGTTCAATTCCTCGAGATTCAAGCTATCGAATGACTATTGAGATATCAGAAAAATAACAATGAATACGTTTTTGAATATGGGTGCGGACAGGAGAATAAGCGACAAAACTATCATTGTTCTCCGATTTTCAATCACTACTATAAATTTTGAGTGTTGTACTTAATGAAACCAAAAACCAATCAAAAATGATAGATATATGTCACGATGTTCCTTGTACTAGTTATTACAATCAACAGAATGCCAACATCACTGTGATTGCGTAGTAAAAGTTTCTATTCAAACATAAACGTTTTATATGCAACAAAATCATGCAACTGTGTAAAGTAAATTCTGAAGTATTGAAAAATCACAAGGAAACCTATATTTATTTCCAAAACGGTGAGAAACCCC